CCCCCCCCCCTTCTCTTAATCTTGTTCTAATCCCCAAATCAGTGTATCCTCTGTCTTCTCTCAATTCACATCGCTATAATTTTGCAATTCCAAAATGGTATTTTAGAATCTCTATTACCAACGATTCTTCAATCCTTATTTGCTCTCTTTCTCAAGGATGTCCCAAGATTTTGTACTCCTTAAGCAGTCAAGCAGGAATACTTTTTATTTCTTATTTGATTGTTAATCTCAGTTATTTTGTTTGCTTTCATCTTTATAATTTTTTTTCTGTTTTCCTCATTTGTTTGGTTCATTGTTTATCTAATTTTTGGAATCCTACTAACCAGTGTAATGCTTATTTTTGTGTCATTTGGCAGATTACATTGTGAAACTCGCTTTTAAAGTCCGGAACTTAGGCAGAGTCGCAAAGACATTCAGTTGATCAAGATAGACTATTACATATTTTGCGGACGAATTGGTATGTTTTTATTTTATTTTATTGTAAATTGGAAGGGGTGTGATTCCCCTACTATATTACTAATTTGCAAGTATTCGTGATTCGTGATTCGTGATTCTCTTATATTTGAATGCGAAAGGGGTATGAAGGTGGGATTCCCTTATTCAATAATAAATTCTAAAAGGGTGTGATTCCCCTTTTCGTGAATTGTGTTATGATTAAGGTTGATTTGAATTTATAAAATGGATATGGTCTAAGATTGAATAAAGGTGAGTATTTGATTTTGTAGGAATAATTTTTCCGAACATCAAAATGGATAGATACTTGATCAATTTAAACAATGGCCAACCAAGTTCTAGTTCGTGTCAACCATCTGCTAATTCACAAATAGTTCCAGAAGTTCAAAGAGAAGCAATTTCTTCCCCTCCTTCAAATGTTAATAGTGTTCTTAGGTTGGGATCTCTTGAAACCGATCCTAAAGAAAGAATACCCATTTCTCAGTATAATCCTAACATTCGAGATGAAGTGAGAAGATATTTTATTCAAAGAGGGCCTTGTCAACCGATTGGTCATGACTTCCCTGAAACTATGTTTGGGAACAAAATGTGTCAATTCAATCCCGATTGGTTTAAAAGTTCATTTTCTCAATATTGGAGTATAGCATAAACACAGATGCTACATTTTGTTTGTGTTGTTATTTATTTAAGAATGAACTTGAAAGTCGTAGACATGTCGAGGATGCTTTTACAAAAAATGATTTTAGGGGTTGAAACAAGGGTTCAAAAATATATAGAGCACATGTCGGTGAAGTAAATAGCATTCATCATAAATGTTTCAATAGAGTGCAAGATTTTGCGAATCAACGCCAATCAATTCAATCATCTTTTGACAGACAAAGCGAGAAAGTAAAAAGTGATCATCGAATGCGCTTACTGCCTCAATTGATGTAGTGAGGTTTCTCTTAAGAAATGGATTGCCATTGCGTGGTCATGATGGAATACAAAGGTGTTTTTCTTGAACTTTTGGAATTTCACAGAGATAAGCATCCGGATGTGGAAAAAGCGATATTACGTCATGCTCCAAAAAATGATATGATGATTTTTCCAACCACTCAAAAGGAGATTATGGATGCTTGTGCTAAAGAAACCATTAAAACTATTATCAATGATTTAGATGGTGATTATTTTGGAATATTGGTTGATGAATCAAAGGACATCTCACATAAGGAGCAAATGGTCCTAGTTCTACGATATGTTAACAAAAATGGGGAGGTGATAGAGAGATTTTTGGGCGTTGTCCATGTGAAAGATACATATGCACAATTACTGAAGGATGCAATTTATTTTTTACTTCTGGCTAACTCATTAAGTTCATCCAAGATACGTGGACAGAGTTATGATGGCGCAAGTAATATGCAGGGAAAAATAAATGGCCTAAAAACTTCAATTTTGCAAGATGCTCCATCTGCATATTATATTCACTACTTTTCTCATCAATTACAACTGACACTTGTAGCTCTTTCTAAAAGACATTCGGATGTAAATAATTTCTTTGATGTTGTCACTAATTTGTTGAATACTATTGGAGCATCTTTTAAACGCAGGGAATTACTTCGACAATGCCAAGTAGAGAAGTTGGAAGAATTACTTAAAATGGAGAAGTTTATATCGGGCAAAGATTGAATCAAGAACGTTGCCTCCAACGATCGAGTGATTACTCTTTAAGGGTCTCATTTTAAGACCTTGGAAAATTTGATGATTTTATTTGCTTCAATTGTAAATGTGCTGAAAGATATGCAACAAGATTGTCTACTTTATCTTGATAGATTTGCAACAAAAAATCTTTTGGATAATATTCAAGAATTTGAATTTGTGTTTATGTTGCACTTGATGTTCAAGATGTTGCTTCTTACAAATGAGTTGAATAAATCTCTACAAAAAAAAAAAGATCAAGATATCGTCAATGCTATGATGTTATTTGACCTTTGAAAGACAAGATTGCAAACAATGAGAGAAAGTGAATTGAAGTCTTTGATGGATGAGGTTTACTCATTTTGTAGTAAACATGATATTTTAATTCCCAAAATAGATAAAAACTATCCAAGGTCGAAGCGTAAGAGGTCAGATGTTTCATATTCACATCACTTTCGTGTGGAAGTATTTTATGCTATTATTGATTTCCAACTTCTAGAGCTCAATTATCGTTTTGATGTAGTGACTAGTGACTTACTCCTTGGTATGGCTAGTTTGAATTCGGTTGATTCATTTGTTAATTTTAACAAAGATAGAATAATGAGGTTGGCCGAGTATTATCCAAGTGAGTTTGGTAAAGGGAGCTTCGGGATCTCAATCTTAGTTACCAGCTTGATAGTTTCATTGTCTATGCTCGAAAGTGTGATAGCGAGTTTCTCAATTTAGAAGGAATTAAGGATCTTTCTATAGTGATGGCCAAAAAAATTAAATCAAACTTGGTATCTTGTTTATTTACTCGTGAAGCTAACGTTGATTTTACATGTTGCTACAGCAAGCTTGGAAGAGCATTCTCCTCAATGAAGCTCATACAGAATGATCTATGTAATAGCATTGGTGATGAATTTTTTAATGGTTGTTTAGTTTACAATATAGAGCGTAAGGTATTTGCAATTGTAAGTAACGATGCTATTATGGATCACTTTCAAAATATGAAAGCTCGTCGAGTATAAATATAAGGCGTAATGGCTTCCTGACCACTTAAACTTGTAGGGCTTTTGAAAGACGATACACAAACTTTTGTCTTTCCCATTTAAACACTCAAACTCGTGAAACCTATAACTAATAAACACATTTTACCCTTGACTCTACGCGCGTGTATTACACATTCGCTAACGTATCCATCCAGTCAGCAAATGACTAATGAGACAGGTACACGTCAATGGCGCGAAATTAAACCCCAACCGATTGTGGTCCCCCCCCTCTTTTAATCAGTACACCGACAAATCCTCCCCCATTTTTCGTCTCTTTTCCTCTCTCTAACCAACCCTCCCCTCTTAAGCCTAGGTTAAGCAATGGCTGAAAATTAGTCATCCCCTTCCAAAAAAAATCTTAATCACTCCAAAACCAACCGATTGGGGTCCCCCCCTCTTTTAATCAAAAGATGATCAAGCTTGTTTGGTCTGAGCTTCCGATTTCAGTCACGTTATAGGCTCTGAAAGTTAGTTTGTTTCTTTTGATGTCGTTTTCTTTTTTGTCTTCTAATTTCTTAGTGAAATAATGTGTGTAACGTTTGATAGTGAAAGCTATTTTTGTCTGCATGCACAATTTTTCATCTGCTATAGTGGAAGCCATTTCGCCTTTTGGATTTTATATTAGGGATTTTATAATTGGGGAAACACTCGAATATTCACTCTTTTTTAGGGGTTTTGTCTTTTTCATGACTAATTTGGCATTTGGGGTTAAAAAATTAGGATTTTTGTCTGCATGCACAAATTATGGAATTTTATATTAGGGTTTTGGGAAAAACAATTGTATGTTCACTTTATTTTAGGGGTTTGTCTTTTTCATGAGTAATATGGCATTTAGGGTTAAAAAATTAGGGCTTTTTTGAATATCAAAATATTCTTGTCTCCCATTTTGTTAAAGGTTATGGCTTTTTAGGGTTAAAATGTATCTGACTTGTCCCCCCCCCCCCCTTTTTAGGTTTCAATGGTTGTCTATGTGAAATTATAATTTCATCATCTAGGGTGGTTAGTGGCTGACCCAATTATGAGGTATGTAAATGGTCAAACTTGGCCAGTTGTTCTTCAAGTTGACATTGATGAATTACATATAATTCAATTTCATGATTGGGCTAAGGATATGGGGCACCTAACAGTAGATAAATATGCATGTAAAATTAACCAAAAAGGAGAATTTAGATTTCTGAAATATGATGCTGATGTGTTAGCTTTCTGTCAAGATCTTAAGGATGGAGATTTTATTGATGCGTATATATGTCACACAATTAATACACCATGTATTGATTTGGACCTAAATGAAATGTTAAGTAGTGGTGGTTTAAATGTGGACCCCACTAATGTTCAGCCATTTGGCTTTAATGAAATGCCACATGGGCAAACAAGTGATGTTAATGTTAGGGCAACACACTCACCTAACAATGATATAAATAGGGGTGATAACACTCATGGGAAGGGTAAAGAGAGGGCTGCTGAAAGTTATTCTGAAACAGAAGAGTCTAGTGAAGATGAAGGTGAGTTCTATACCTTTTATTTAGCAACTGATTCTTAGGGTGATGTTGAGGGTGATGAGCTAAGTATTGAGAGTGATAAAGATTATGAGGCTATTTCTAAAGATGATGATGATGATACAGCTGAGTCATTATATGGTTTTGATAAGGATATTGTTGGAGAGACAAGTGACCTAGAACCTGAAGTTGTTGTTGCTAGACAGGTTAAAGTGAATGCAAAGAGTAGTAAATTAAGATCTAATGAAGTTAATATTGATGAGATACCTAGTGGATCTGTAGGTATAGACCCTGGTTTTGAAGACATGTATAAAGACAGGGGAAAACAACATGTGTGAGACCTTTAACAGTTGGATCTTGTCTGCTAGGTACAAGTCTATAATAACTATGTTAGAAGAGATTAGAGTGAAGGTGATGGAGAGGATGACTACCATGAGAGAATTTGCAACAAGGTGGATTTCTGATGTATCTCCTATGGCAATGGGTACATAGAGGAACAATCTCAATATGTTGTTAACCATGATTTAAATGGAATGCGGATACTAGGTATGAGATACAACATGGGGTTTACAAACATATTGCTGACTTCACCAACAATACATGCATATGTAGATCATGGCAGCTTAAAGGAATACCATGCTCCCATGCAATATGTGTAATGTTTTTTAAGAGATTTGAGCATGTTGACTATGTAACCCACTGGTACAAGAAAGAAACATACCTGAAGGTTTTTAGTTGTTACATACAACCAGTAACCAACATGGAGATGTGGCCATCAACACAGAATCCAACTGTTGAGCCTCCTGTAATTACCAAGATGCCTAGTAGACATAAGAAAAATAAAAAGAGCTCAAGATGAACCTAAAAAGAAGTTTGGTAAGAGATCAAGGAAAGGGACACCAATGACATGCTCTAATTGTAAGACAGTAGGCCATAACAAGAACGGGTGTCCTATCCTGGTAATGTATTCAATTTGTTTCTGATTGTGTCTTGTACTTTGGTTGTTTCTATATCTCATTTTATATTTTAGAAATTTCAGAAAGGACAAGGTTCTGGAACAACAGGAACCAGGAATGCTGGTGCTACTCAACCATCACAGGCTGCTCAAACAACAACTCAACAACCAGGTCCTACAAGTGATTCTGGAATTGCTAGGGCCAGAAATACTCAACCATCAGTTGTTGCAAGTGCATCTGTAAGTAATCATTTTTTACTTTAGTTAATCTGTATTAGGACTATAATTTTTAAATTACTAGATAGTATTTTATCTTACATCAGGATACTAGAAGTATGAGATCAAGAACTTCTGAGGATTATAGCTAGTGTTAGAGGAAGGCCAAGAGGTAGTGGACTTCGAGGAAGACCAAGAACTACTAGATTTGGTATATTGTTTAGTGATACAGGAACAATGATAGAAAGGGTAAGATCATTAAGGATTTGAATTTTTATTTATATATTAGTAGTTTGGGTACTAATTTAGCTTCCTATGCAGTGTGGAGCAAGAGATAGGGTACATTCTGCTCCTACAAAAGTAGTGGATGCTGGGCAAACCAATATCGATCTTGGATACAATGCACCTGGACTAAGGTGGCAAGGAAGAAATGCTAAATCACAAAGGCAACTTCAACAATAGTTGAGGAGAAGACAAACTCAAGCAAGCCTTAGCCAACCTCAAGTACATTCTTCATCTCAGCCAAGCCAGTCTCCAAGTCCAAACTTGAGCCAATCTCAGCAAAACATTAACCAATTTCAACCTTGAAGACGACTGAATGTTTGATTTTGTGATAACTTAAGTCTGTTAGTTGCAGAACATAATTTGTAGGTTAACTTAAGTCTGTTTAATTATGACTTTTCTTTTGGAACAATGTTTAAACTATTTCTGCTACTAGGCAGCAGTTCAGTGCTAATTTTGTCAACCAAGAAAGCTTATCGAACTTGGTTGTTTATATATGTGTGCTTGTTTATGTTAAAATTTCTTTTCATTTCACAAAAAATACATCATTCATTCTGTCATTATCATTGTACATAGGGTTATGAAGGCACTGATTAGTGCTAACTACACTAAGAAGAAAATTACAATTATTAGTGCTACTACAACAACTAAAGTTACAATGATCTTCACCCCCTTCCTACGTTGTAGTCGATCTCTCTCTCTAATTCTTGATAACAACCCTGAAATCACTTGTTTATAGTGATCTGGAAGAGGTGGGTCAAACCACCTAAAAGAATTACAAGAATCGGCTCAACCATAGTTTGAGCACCCATAAAACCTTCTTCCTGGATTTGTTGGCTTCCAAGTGATGCAAATATGAGCTCCAACTCCACAATGACAAAATACAGGATTTTGATTCATTATCACAATCTGGAAAAAGAAAAAAATTTAAAGAAAGCTTCAGATTTTAAGAAATATGAAGGAATGAAGCTTCAAATGCATATAATAGAGGGATAATGTGTTTTACATTGAAGGAATAAGAACCCACTTAAATAGGCCCCATTTTTTACCGTTGGGCATTGGGAAGGGGGCTCTCACGCTCCTAAACATCATGGCACTCACGCAGCAGGCTGACTAGGACCAACTAACGCCACATGGGATAGGTCAACGGTCAAAATGTGTTTATTATTATAGGTTTCACGAGTTTGAGTATTTAAATGGGAAAGACCAAAGTTTGTGTATCGACTTTCAAAAGCACTACAAGTTTAAGTGGCCAGGAAGTCATTTCGCCTAAATATAAATTGATGATGTATTTTTGAGATAATGGAATTGGATAATTTTTGCTAGCCAAGTTGTTTTTATAAAATTTATATCATGAAACTGAATGTTTCTCTTTGAAGCATGCTTGTCTTTGAAGTAATGGTGCACCCATCTTCTCGAATTCCTGGATTCGCCTCTTGCTGGAAGCATTCATAAAGAGTTGAACATAACCTTATATAGTGGGGCGTATTAATCCATGGGCTTCAACTCAGATGGAAGCCATCGTGGAGAAGAGGAAATTATGGCTATGGTTACTTTTGCAAACAACCCCCTTGAAAACAAACTGTTAAATGAGGAAGTTGAACGAAAGGCAATTCACATTTTCACACGAGAATTTTATAATGTAGAAAGCTTTGTAGCAGGGAGTGGAAGTTGTAATTGCTAAAAAAGCTTTGATTGTTTCCTACTACAGTTCATCAAATTAGATAGGAGAATTAGTGTTCTCTTAGCTTCTCAAACCAGATCTATATTTGATCCAAGATAGTCCTTTTTTTTCTTTATGTATATGCAGATTAATTTAGCCACAAGGAAACCAAAGATTGGATTCTTTTATGCAATTCCATCATTTGATTTATTTTTCATCATCACTTACGGATAGAAAATATCAAAGATAAACCAACGCATGTATTGGGCACGTGCATTGCACGGGCAGGCCATTCTAGTATATATATTTGTGGAGGGAAGTGTACGATTAGCCACTAATAACACATGTATTTACTTTTAAGCTATTGTTTAAAATGTCTTCAGTCCTTAGCCACTGCTTTAATAATTTTAACTGCCCTGATGAAAATACCCTTCTGCTCGTATCCTTAACTTTTGAACTTAACTTCAGAACTTCAGGACTACATTTCCTTAACTTTTGAACTTGAAATTCTAAGTTCAGGACTTCAGGACTACATGTTCTTAACTTTTGAACTTAACTTCAGGACTTCAGGACTACATGTTCTTAACTTTTGAACTTAACTTCAGGACTTCAGGGCTACATGTCCTTAACTTTTGAACTTGAAACTCTAAGTTCAGGATTTCAGGAATACATGTCCTTAACTTTTGAACTTAACTTCAGGACTTCAGGACTACATGTCCTTAACTTTTGAACTTGGAACTCTAAGTTCAGGACTTCAGGACTACATGTCCTTAACTTTTGAACTTGTAATTCTAAGTTGAAGACTTCAAAACTACATGTCCTTAACTTTTGAACTTGGAACTAAAACCAAACAAAAATATGAAAACTATCCCATATAAATAAATAACATGGGTTAAAACAACGTTCGTTATGACTTGCAGCCGACTCTGTTCTTTCACATTCTTCTACCCAAACAAAAGCCTAAAATAATACCAAATTTCATCTCATGGATTGGGTTCGTAGTGAAGCTGTTAGTCAAGGAAGTTTTGGAAAAGTCAATTTTGCAATACCCACAAAGCAGAGTACTCAGATTCTTCCATTGATGGTAGTAAAGTCATCTTGAGTTTCCCACTCGACTACTCTCAGCAACGAGAAAAGCATATTTCCATTTGGTAAGGAATGGGTAACACTGTCTTTTCATATTAATTTTAATAGACTAGTAACTATTTTAATACCACTTTAAAAAATGACTACCCCACACAATTTTTACTACATATGCGTGTGTACGTGTCTTGCAACCCTACTATATGAACTGTACCCATTTTTATTTTTCATTATAATCCTCTAAGTCGGCAAAGTCAGTTTATTACTTTAGATTTGACCTAAACTATCTGAGTAGCTTTTCTTATTCTCTCGAGAAAAAGGCAATCCCTCTAACAAGAGAGGGTCTGAGTGGAACAAGAAATGTGAAAAATAGTTTATAGAGGCTGAAGCGATGGTTAGGGAACATAGGTGGCAACTACCAACACACACCAACTTTAAGCAAACATGGGTCTAATTTAAAATGTAATCTTGAACATATCTCGACACCGATTATTACTCTTGAGATGTGAAAGAAAAGCCAGAAACGCCTTCATAGATACACACAAATCAGAACAAAATGCAACTTTTGGTGAAGTATTGCGCTGTTTGATGAAGACGGTGGAGTTGTGTTTCATCTTTTTCTGGTGAAGATTGAATAACCATGGCCTCCTCCTTAGTCTCTTTAAGCGCTAATCCATATATAGTGAATGAAGTCTTGGGTGATGGTAGCGGAGAGGGAAATGAAATGCGGCGAAATTTATGTTAAAATGACAGAAAGGTCCTCACTTTTAATGTTTTGATAAAAACTAGTAAGGATATTTAAGTGAACCAAAATGTAGGTACGGTGCTAACCTACTATCTTCATGTATAGGTATGCGCCTGTGAGGACGCTTCAATTCAAGACCTGAAAAAGGAACCTTTTAGAGCATTTCTGCATCATATATCTGCACCCACTCGCAAATTATTCAAAGGAATACCAGACCCTTTGAATTTCAGGGAGCCACAGAATGTTAAACATAAAACAAAATAACTCACTGAGCAATATAACACGAAAGAGGCAAGAGTACGTAAAAGCTTCGAAAGAGCATAAACTATGGAAGAAATGCACTCTATGGATCAATAGTCCAGGTTTTCAAAAAGGGAAATTTGCATAAATATACAGCCCAACATAACACATTGCATCCATGTAGCTATATTTTTCAGTTTAAACTTGCATATATTTTTTCTCCAACAATATTTTACACTCTTGTACATTATTATAGAATATTTATACACCTATATAAGCAATATATCCACCATGTATAAAAGTATATAACAGTGTATAAACATGTTTCAACCCTATACAAAAGTGTATACCATTGTATAAACGTCTAGGATTTTCAGTTGCAATTCTTGTCCAAACTAAAAAAAAGAAAATCTCCACCAAATGACTTCAAATTTTATAGGCAATATCCTTATTTCCAACAAATCTAAACAACACCCACTTCAAATTTTTCACACAAGTTAGATCCACAATTCAAATCCACTTCTTTAAGCTTGTTCAACAATGGTGGAGGTACCTTTCTAATCTAATTTTCACCATCCAAATCTTACAAAATCAATACTCTAACCACGATTTGAGCTCCAAACACTATAATATAATGAACTTTACAAAAATTTCTAAATCATATAAATGTCCAAAATTGAGAATATAAAACATTTCTAATGATGTAAATATAGTAGTAAGACTTTCTTAATTACTCTCTTCTTTTTCAAGTAGTTTGGGGGTTGTCGAGAAGTATATTCAGTTTTAGGTGAAGAGAGGATGAAGAAACAGGGAGAAGAGAGAACAAAGGAGACATCGATGCATTCCGTTTCTATTTTTGTAATTTTTTAAATACATGTACAAGTTGGCATGTTTGTAAAGATGCGAACTACCTGCACCTGCACAGGAAGATCCTATGAAGCTATAATGTTCCCAGAGATTGACTTTGGGCCTTTCCTGCGCAGCTTAGGTGGAATTCTTTTCTTGTCCAATAAAAAATTTAATATAAGAAAATACTTGCCACTTTCACCTTATAGAAACAAGCTATAATTGTAATTGTGAATTAAAATATTTTTATGAGGTTAAAAAAAAAAACTGAGGATTTTGATGTGTAAATTTGGGCTTAAATTGGTAAGGAAAGCAGCCCACATGTACTTTCCTAGTAATAGCTTCTTTCCAAAATCTGCTAGAATAAGGACACCACCTAATCGAGTTATAGGACAAAAAAACATAAATAATGTACAAGAATGTTTCTCGGTTTCGACACCAACCGTGTTTTCTCGAGTTCTTCATTTTGGCTTAATGCACAAAGATATACATTATGAAACACCAAAAATTGGAGAAAGACCAAAAATTTCCTCATATAATAGACTCGTATGGACAAATTAGGAGCCAACTGTGAGAAAATGCCAACCTTTTCTGTTTCTTTCAAATTGCTCAAGTAGACTTCTGTAGTCCCAACTCAACTATGATGTGTCTCAGCAATACTTGCACCAACTCTCTCACTCTGGCTTCCCTGCTAATAAAGATTTACCTCATATTAGATTTCTAATTCTTGATTTTTTTTAAAATGAACAGAAAGGAAGAGTCAAAAGTTCACTATGAAATAACCACGATATGTTATAGCTCCGTTAAACAAAAGATGCCCAGACACAGAATCAAGAGTTCGACCACATCCTCTTTCGTCATTTCACAAGCTTACCTTGATATGACAAGTTCACAGAAGGATGGGAAAAGAACAAGTAAATGCGTGCGCCTTGCTTGATTCTCTCCTGTGAGGCCTTCTTTTAAGTATGGATGTAAATTAAGTTGGGATACAGTGTCTGAATGAACCACAAGAAGTGCAAGCTCTTGGAGGACAAAGATAACTTCTTCCACACGTGCTGCTGGCAATGGATTTTCTCCTGAATAGTGGTTGTATGATTTAAGAAATAAGCTGAAGAAAACAAGAATAACAAACATGAAAGCATTTAAAATCCCTTTCAACATAACTAGATCACCCACCTAATCTGCTCCCATCCATCAAGAACCTTCCCAGAATGAACTCACATCTGGTCATTAATAATTTTATTGAGATATTGCTAACTTCACATCTAGTTGAAGTCCATTCACCAGTTCCATGGCTGAAACTAAGTGAAATGAGTGTGAAATGGCAATCACCGCAAACATGGAAAACAGGTAAGGTAGTGTCAATTAAAAGGTACTATATACCTGCACAGAAGAAACAGCTTCTGCAAACAGGTCAGGGAGAACCTGCTACAATGTGAAGGCATCAGTTCGACAGTCTCAAGCGGCAAGGAACATGTACGTGATGCACACCGATCCAGAGTGGTGATTAGACGTTCCAGAATCTGCAAAATTGGCATGATCAGCGTTATGCTTGATCTAGAAGTTTACTCCTACAGTGCATCATTAGAAAATATGAATGCAAACGGACATACTACTTTAAGTGGCAATGGAAAAATAACTCTGTTATAGTAAGCAATAAGTCTGAGCTGTAAAACTGGATAAATATCATATTTTATCATCTGCTGAACTTCTCAAGCCACACAGTCTGGGCTATTAATTCACAGCAGATTTCTATATCTAATCCTGCAAAAGGCCATGAATAATTCCTATAATCTCACATTTATCGACCAGAGCTGTGTCACCTGACATACATGATCTTTTCCCCTAACCTATTTTCGAGGATTCAGTTACCTGCAGAGGTAGCTGTTGTTAAATCATTTATACAAACAAGGGCCCCAAAAAGATGTTATAAAAAACCAAAAATGGGCATACTTATAAAAAAAAATCATTGGCCAATGCCTAGTGGCACGCAATAGATTGAGATAAAACCATGATAGATAGCATTTAATTCCTTCTCAAAGAAGAGTGGACATGAAAGATCTACACCATTTGGAACTTATGAAACACATAAGCACATCTTGCATACAGAAGTTCCAAAAATGTTCGAAGTTCATTAGCATGGAAGGTACCAGTGGTCCAAAATGAAGTGTTTGTCGGAGATGACTAAATATGTGCAGCTGTAAAGTGAAAGAACTAGAGTGAGAATATCTAAAAAGATTAGGATTGGAACGTTACGTCAAGAGGTGCATCAGTCTGTGATTTGAGAATTTTGTCTCCAAGAATATCCAAGAGATTCATCTCAAGAGACTCATCAGCACTGTCTACCGTCACTGAAAGTGCACGACCACAGTAGCCTATTAGAAATATCTCAAAAATGTCAGCAACTTCTTTCCAAATACGCATTCTTGCAGGTCTGGTAATAGTCAACTCTGGCCCTGCTTTCTCTGTCAGTTTTTTGACATCATCGAGCAGAATGCGAATAAAACCTTCAACTGCTAGTCTCCAAAGTGAGCCATCAGGATTGTCTCTTCTTGTTATCATACATCTAGTGAAGAAAATTAGAACTCAATCAATTAGAACTCAATCAATGAGAAGCTCCAAATTCTTGGAGTATATTGATCACCTTGAAAGATGAACACAATCAATAAAAGGAGTACAAGTAATTCAAACTCTGATCAATCCAGAAAGATTTATGTATCATTGACATGTAAGCAGACACATATTAGCCAAAAGAAAAAAAAATTACAAAAGAAGCCTACAGATTCATGCAAGTGACGAGAAAGGATTATTTCAAAAGGAGATTATTTTTTATTTTGATCATAATTTATGACAGTCTTCCCAAGCAATTTGGTATGATTAACTGAAGAGAACATGAGAATGGATAATAAGCTCCTTTTTTTCCCAACTTCGTAACAAGGTTGTATTATAAGGTTTTTTTTACCCAACTTCATAACAAGGTTGCAATATCTTGGATTCCCTAGTCAGCTCTTAAAATAGATTCCCTGTCACAAGAACGGTGTTGTCAAAGGCGCGCTTAAGGCCTGAAGCGAGGCTCAAAACATGTCGAGTGCTTTGCCTTGCTTTGGGGGCGCTTCTATGTCACATCAAGACTCTAAGGCATACTTTTCCTTACCGATGCGTGTAATCTTGAAAAGGCGACACTAAACAACTGATATTTCATTTTATCGTAATTTTTTTTGAAAAAGGTTTTTTATCGTAATTATTTTTCAATTTTTTTCTGTATATGTGTTATTCATGCTTATAATTATTGGTCTTGGACTATATATATATATATATATATACACTTTTTCTCCCGTTGCGCCTTTTTTCATTAAAGCCCACGCTTTATTTGCACTTAAAGCCCCAATAGACTTTAGAGCTTTTTTACGCTTTTCGCCTTTGATAACACTACACAAGAATACACTTCAGAGTACCATTTTTAATCAAACACTATGGAGCTGTCACGCAGGGTTATTCTGGGGGTCATAAAGGAAACTGGTCGTGGAATGGAGAGGTCCAAGATAAGGTGGACGCCAAGAAAGCGGCTTATTTGAAGCTTGTGGAGAGTATAGACGAGGAGGATAAAAAGACATATCGGGAGTATTATAAGAAGGCAAAGAAAGAGGCGAAGTTAGCAGTTACGACGGCCAAGACTGCAGCGTTTGGACGTTTGTACGAGGAACTCGGGGGCAAGGTCGGGGACAAAAAGCTCTTCCGGTTGGCCAAAATGAGGAAGAGAAAGGCCCAAGACTTGGACCGAGTGAAATGCATCAAGACGAAGATGGCAAAGTATTTGAAAATGTTGGTTTATGTTTAGTCAACAATGGCATGCTGAAAATGGCATGCTGAAATGCATCAAGACGAAGATGGCAAAGTATTTGAAAATGTTGGTTTATGTTTAGTCAACAATGGCATGCTGAAAATGGCATGCTGAAATGCATCAAGACGAAGATGGCAAAGTATTTGAAAATGTTGGTTTATGTTTAGTCAACAATGGCATGCTGAAAATGGCATGCTGAAATGCATCAAGACGAAGATGGCAAAGTATTTGAAAATGTTGGTTTATGTTTAGTCAACAATGGCATGCTGAAAATGTTGGTTTATGTTTAGTCAATAATGGCATGCCAATTGGAAGAGTTGGTGGAAAGAGTTGGTGTGGATGCTAGGAGGAAGCTTCCTCCTTTGATGTCACCCATGACATCATGTCACCCATGACATCAAGAGGAGGTAGTTTGATGTCACCAATGACATCAAGAGGAGGTCTTTACCTCTATAAATAGATGCACTCCTTCATTTGTAGAAATCATCCCAAAATAATACAGTACATTGTAGTGAGTAGAGAGTTAAGAGAGAAATTCTCTTAAGTGTAATTGGGAAATCTCCCCTTCCTTTGTTAATATTAAAAGGGGCAATTGTTCTCTGGTGGACGTAGGATTATTTTGATCCGAACCACGTTAAATCTTGTGTTCTTTCTTTTACGTTTCCGCTAACAATTGGTATCAGAGCGACAGGATTCTTTAACGATCCAAGGAGAAAGAACAAGCAAATATGAGTTCCATGAAGTTTGAAATTGATAGATTCAATGGACGCAACAACTTCAATATCTGGAAGATCCAGATGATGGCGTTACTGCGGAGGGAAGGTTCAATCCATGCTATTGACGGAAAGTATCCTACGGATATATCAGCTCCCGACAAGGAGAAGATTGAAGGGGATGCATTGAGTGCAATCCAACTATCCCTTGCACCTAACGTGCTTTGTGAAGTGAGTACGGGTACCGAAGAGACGGCCAAACAGTTGTGGGAAAAGCTAGAAGGGCTATACCAAGACCGATCAGTGACAACAAGAATGTTGTTACAACGGCGTCTTCACACATTTAAGATGGGGTCAGGTACTTCGTTACAAGATCATTTAGATGCGTTTAATAAACTTGTCATGGACTTACAGATTGCAGGAATTAAAAGGGAGGAGGAGACGCTTGCATGTGCTTTGCTATTTTCATTGACTTCAGGATATCGTGATATTGAGAATTCAATGATGTATAGCAAGGAGCCTATCAAGCTTGAGCAAGTGCGGCAGGCACTTAACTCTAGTGATGTGCGGAGGCACATTGAAGGAGATAGAGATGACCAGGCAAGTGGCCTCTTTGTAAGAGGCCGGACTAGCCAACAGGGAAAGACCAAATCAAAGCACAGATCAAAGTCTCGTGTGAACAAGAAGAATACAGAGTGTTGGGGTTGTGGCAAGAAGGGGCACTTTGAACGAGATTGCCCAATGTCAAAGTCCAAGGAAAAGGCGAGTGCATCTACAGTTGAACAGGTACATAATTTTGATAATGATTATGTACTAACAACATCGTGTAATAATAATAGTAGTTATGAAAACAAATGGGTGTTAGACTCTGCTTGTACTCTGCATATGACGTTCCGAAAAGACTGGTTTAGCAGCTACGAGAAAAGTGGAGGAACCGTAGTAATGGGCAATAATGCAACTTGTGCAATAGTTGGCATTGGCTCAGTTCGGGTTCGCTGCCATGATGGAATCGTGAGGACTATTACACAAGTCCGTCATGTTCCTGATCTGAAGAAGAATTTGATCTCCTTGGGTACTCTGGATGAACAAGGCTACAGGTACATGAGCGAAGCAGGAACTATGAAGGTGACTAAAGGTTCTTTAGTCATGCTGAAAGGCAAGCTGGAGAACGGCCTTTACACATTGGCCGGAAGCACCATTGTTGGCTCTGCAAATGCATCTACAGTGCAGTTATCTAATGATGACAAGGCAAGACTATGGCACATGAGACTGGGTCATATGAGCGCACGTGGACTGGAGATGTTGAGCAATCGTAAACTTTTGGAAGGTGAGAAGATCAGCACGCTTGACTTCTGTGAGCACTGCGTTCTAGGGAAGCAGAAGAAGGTCAGCTTCAGCACTGGCAAACACAAGACAAGAGGAGTGCTAGACTACATCCATTCAGATTTATGGGGTCCTTCTAAACTTCCATCGAAGGGCGGAAAGAGGTATCTTCTCATTTTTATTGATGATTTCTCACGAAAGGTTTGGGTGTATTTTTTGAAGGCAAAAAGTGATGCTTTTGAAGCATTTAAAGAGTGGAAGATTTTGGTTGAAAATCAAATGGAGCGGAAAATCAAGTATCTTCGCACAGACAATGGCTTGGAGTTTTGCAATGAAGAGTTTAATGAATTCTGCAAGGTTCATGGGATCTCAAGACATAGGACTGTCAGGCATACCCCACAGCAGAATGGAGTTGCCGAGAGAATGAACAGAACTCTTCTTGAAAAGGCTCGTTGTATGCTCCTACAAGCCAAAATGTCCAAAGTATTTTGGGCTGAAGCAGTTCACACTGCTGCTCATATTGTCAATCGATCTCCAGCATCGGCAATTGACTTTAAGACTCCGAATGAGGTATGGTCAGGTGAACCCTCTAACTATTCATACTTACGAGTATTTGGGTGTCCAGCTTATTATCACGTTAATGAAGGAAAGCTTGAACCAAGGGCTAAGAAGGCCATATTCGTAGGGTATGTGGATGGAGTAAAAGGGTACAAACTTTGGTGTTTGTCTTTACTCAAATTTATAGTTAGTAGAGATGTCACCTTCGATGAATCCTCTATACTTGATCCCCGTAAAGTTTCCGTGGAGTTTTCAGGAAACAAGAACAACGAGCAGGTGGAGCTTCCGGTGGAGCTTGCCAAGGAAAAGGATCAAGAGACTCAGGTTAAAGATGAGTCAGAAGATGTAGGCCTTGAAGAACTTGCTGTCAATGAACCATACACAATTGCGAAGGGGAGGGAGAAGAGGCAGACACGAGAACCGGAACGCCTTATAAATCAAGCAAACTTGATTGCATATGCGTTCGTAGCTGCACAAGAAGAGATTAAAGATCTGGAGCCCTCCTCGTATATTGAAGCAACTTCTTGCAAGGATGCCGCACAATGGCGGTTAGCCATGACTGAAGAGATGGAGTCTCTTCACAAGAATCAGACATGGGTCTTAGTGAAAAGACAAAAGGGGAAGAGGACAGTTGGATGCAAGTGGGTCTACCGAAAGAAAGAGGGAATTCCTGAAGTGGAAGATGCTAGGTTCAAGGCGAGATTGGTTGCAAAAGGTTTCAGCCAAAAGGAGGGAATTGACTACAATGAGATTTTCTCTCCGGTCGTGAAGCATAGCTCAATTCGCGTGCTACTAGCATTGGTTGCACAATTTGACTTGGAGCTTCAACAGCTTGATGTCAAAACTGCTTTCTTACACGGTGATCTAGAAGAGACAATCTATATGGATCAACCTGAAGGTTTCCTAGCTGAGGGAAAAGAAGATCACGTATGCCAACTAAAGAAGTCTTTGTATGGTTTGAAGCAATCCCCTAGACAGTGGTACAAGAGGTTTGATGCATTCATGACTACACATGAATTCTCAAGGAGTGCATTTGATAGTTGTGTGTATCACAAGAAGATGTCTGGTAACTCAATGATTTATTTACTGTTGTATGTTGATGATATGCTTATTGCTGCTAACAACATTACAGAGATAAATGCTTTGAAGAAACTATTGAGTAAGGAATTTGACATGAAGGATTTAGGAGCTGCAAAGAAAATCCTTGGTATGGAGATTTCAAGAGAAGACGATGTTGTACATCTTTCTCAGAAGAGGTATATTGAAAGGGTTCTCGAGAGATTCAATATGCAAACGTGCAAGCCTTGCAGTTGGTAGTATTATGTATGCTATGGTATGCACACGTCCAGATATTGCTCAATCTGTAAGTGTGGTAAGTAGATACATGTCCAACCCAGGAAAGAGGCATTGGGAAGCTGTCAAGTGGATATTGAGATATCTCAAAGGAGCTTCTGGTGTTGGTCTTACCTTTCGAAAAAGTGGTACAGGTATTTCAATTCTCGGTTATGTGGATTCTGACTATGCAGGAGATCTTGACAGAAGAAGGTCCACAACTGGATACATCTTTACCCTCGTTGGCAGTGCCGTCAGTTGGAAGTCGACTTTGCAGTCGATTGTCGCTTTGTCTACGACAGAAGCAGAATACATGGCAGCAGCGGAGGCGGTAAAGGAAGCTATCTGGTTGAAAAGTTTAGTAGCGGAATTGAGTTTGGTTCAGCTGGAATCAACTCTTAGATGTGATAGTCAGAGTGCTATTCATCTAATGAAAAATCAGAGATTTCATGAGCGCACTAAACACATTGATGTCAGATTTCATTTTATTCGAGATGTTATTGATGAGGGAACTATCAAGGTCGTGAAGGTTATCACAGACGATAATGCTGCAGACATGTTGACCAAGATAGTCCCGCTCGCTAAGTTTGCACACTGCAAGGACTTGGCGGGGGTGTGCATCAACTGATGCAACTCCGAAGAGAACAGTTGCTAGGTGGAGGTGGTATGTTCAACAATGGTTTGATTCTTCTTGTTTCTTACAACGGGGTTGCCCAGTAAGCTTAGAAGTTTTGGCCAGAGTTGTTCACACGCTCGAAACGCAAACCAAGGTGGAGATTGAAAATGTTGGTTTATGTTTAGTTAACAATGGCATGCTGAAAATGTTGGTTTATGTTTAGTCAACAATGGCATGCCAATTGGAAGAGTTGGTGGAAAGAGTTGGTGTGGATGCTAGGAGGAAGCTTCCTCCTTTGATGTCACCCATGACATCAAGAGGAGGTAATTTGATGTCACCAATGACATCAAGAGGAGGTCTTTACCTCTATAAATAGATGCACTCCTTCACTTGTAGAAATCATCCCAAAATAATACAATACATTGTAGTGAGTAGAGAGTTAAGAGAGAAATTCTCTTAAGTGTAATTGGGAAATCTCCCCTTCCTTTGTTAATATTAAAAAGGGCAATTGTTCTCTGGTGGACGTAGGATTATTTTGATCCGAACCACGTTAAATCTTGTGTTCTTTCTTTTACGTTTCCGCTAACAGTATTGATAGACGAGGCACATATTAAACGAAAATGGCAAGCATACTTCCATAAATTGTTGAACGAGGGGAACAGAAGCATCGTGCTAGGTGAGTTGGAGCACTTTGAGAGTCAACGTGATTGTAGCGTGCTCGGGACCTCGTACGAACAAACTAACAAGTCCCATAACATAGCACGGACCTACTCGAGGCCTCAAATCACGCATAACAACATCGAAACGACGAAACGCACCTCAAATCAACCTTAATGAACTTTCGAACTTTTGACGTCAAAAAACTCGCGCAGAAACATATCAAATCAGAATGAACTCAAATTTTGCACACAAGTCCTAATACATCATGTGGAGATACTCGTACCCTCAAACTACCGAGCGAAGTGCAAATGCTCAAAACGACCGGTCGGGTCGTTACATTTCACCCTGTAAATTCTATTTTGTACTATTTAATTAATGGAAATTATGACTTCAAGTAATAAAATGAGTATTGATGGACGAGACACATATTAAACGAAGATGGCAAGCATACTTCCATAATTTGTTGAACGAGGATGGGAACAAAAGCATCATGTTGGGTGAGCTGGAGCACTCCGAGAGTCGGCGTGATTTTGGGTATTATAGGCGTATTAAGGCAGAAGAGGTGGAGAGGGCGATGTGTAAGATGAGCAGGGGCAGAGCGGCGGGACCAGACAAAATCCCGGTGGAATTCCGGAAGAATACGGGCCGAGCTGGCTTGGAGTGGCTTACTAAGTTGTTTAATGTTATTTTTAAGACAAAAAGGATGCCCGAATAATGGAGGTAGAGTACGATGGTTCCATTGTACAAGAACAAGGGCGATACAAAATTGCAACAACTACAGGGGTATAACACTGTGGAGCCACACTATGAAAGTTTGGGAGAGGGTGGTGGAAGCCAGGGTGAGGAGGACCGTGTCTATTTCCGAAAACTAATTCGGATTCATGTCGGGGTGATCGACGACGAAAGCTATCCATTTGGTGAGGAGACTAGTGGAGCAGTATATGGAGAGTAAGAACTTGCATATGGTGTTCATTGACCTTGAAAAAGAGTATGATAAAGTCCCGAGGGAGATTCTATAGAGGTGCTCGGAGGTTAAAGGCGTCCCAGTAGCGTACACTAGTTGATTAAGGATATGTACGAGAGTGTTAAGACTCAGGGTAGGACTGTGGAAGGAGACTCGAAAAACTTTCCGGTTACAATGGGGCTGCACCAGGGATCGGCTCTTAGCCCGTTCCTATTTGCCTTTGCGATGAATGTGCTGACGCGGCACATCCAAAGGGAGGTGCCTTGGTGCATGTTGTTTGCAGATGATATAGTGTTGATAGACGAGCCTCGAGGCGGGGTTAACGCGAGGTTGGAGGTTTGGAGACTGACCTTGGAGTCTAAAGGTTTCAAGTTGAACAGGACCAAAATGGAGCACTTGGAGTGCAAATTCAGTGGCGGGACCCTTGAAGCTGACGTGGATGTGAAGCTCGATACTTAAAGGTTTGGAGACTGACCTTGGAGTCTAAAGGTTTCAAGTTGAACATGACCAAAATTGAGCACTTGGAGTGCAAATTCAGTGGCGGGACCCTTGAAGCTGACGCGGATGTGAAGCTCGATACTCAAGTCATCCTCAAGAGAAAAGTAGTTTCAAGTATCTCGGATCTATTATACAGGGTAACAAGGAGATTGACGAGGATGTCACACATCGTATTGGAGCGGGATGGATGAAATGAAGGCTTGCTTCCGGTGTTCTTTGCGATAAAAATGTGTCGTCAAAACTTAATGGTAAATTTTACATAGTGGTGGTTCGACCTACCCTGCTATATGGGGCAGAGTGTAGGCCAGTCAAGAGCTCCCATGTGTAGAAGATGAAAGTAGTAGAAATGAGGATGTTGAGATGGATGTGTGGGTGTACCAGGAGGGATAAGATTAGGAATAAAGTTATTTGGGACAAAGTGGGAGTGGCCTCTGTGAAGGACAAGATGCGGGAGTCGAGGCTGAGATGGTTCGGGAATGTTAAGAGGAGAATCATTGACGCTCCTGTTAGGAGGTGTGAGAGGTTGACCATGGCGTGTTTGAGAAGAGGTCGAGACAGATCTACAAAATACTGGGGAGGTGATTACGCAGGACATGGCACAGCTTCAGATCGCTGACAACATGACCCTTGACAAGAGGGTGTGGAGGTTGAGGATTAGAGTAGAAGGTTAGCAGGTAGTTGAGAATTTTCCCCTTTCTTACCAGTAGTACTAGTAGCACGCACGTACTTTCATATCTCTCATATTTATATTACACCATGTTGTTTAGTTTGTTTCAGTTATTGTATTCTCTTGTNTTTTTTTCTTTTTCTTCTCCTTTCTCTCCCTCTGTTTCTTCTTCTTATTTTTCTCCTCCCTACTTTTCTGAGCTGAGGGTCTATTGGAAACAGCCTGTCTACCTTCACTAGGTAGGGGTAAGGTCTGCATACACACTACCCTCCCCAAACCCCAAGTATGGAAATATACTGGGTATGTTGTTGTGCTATAGGAGCTGTCAATGATGGCGGGAAAAGAAACAAGAGGATCTGTCAGCATGATCAATTTTTAATGATCGACGGGAAAAGAAACTAGAGGATCTGTCATGCATGATCAACTCTCACCTTCCTAAAGATTGAATAATATCAGGTAAAATTTTGTACTTCTCAGCAGGTGGAGCCTGCAAGAGGAGATCCACTAACACGGGAACAAGTTTTTCTGCGAAAAGATGATTTGAGATACTTGGCACTGTAGTTGATTCAGGACTCTTAGGCGAAGCTTCTACCCTTTGGGATTCTGAAGCAACTCCATTACTGACCTCAGCATCATCATTGATCCCTGGGCAACAATGTCAAAGAAAATAAGTTGTGTAAGAATAAAAAATAGCTCTAAGAAATATACTGATTCCAAACAAGTAACTAATCTCACTGGTCTCCTGGTCGTTCTCATCTTCAATTTTGTCCATACAGGAATCAGAGCTTGGAAGATACAGCAATAATTTTGCAAGCAGCGATGACCACATTGCAGAAAGGTGTTCTGCTGGACGCAACTGTGGCAGTATTTCAAGTGCAGTACGTTGTAAAGGTGGAACATGACCCTAGAGAAAAATATGCCACTGACAAATTAAAACTCATGCAAACCGATAAACTGCACAGCTTGTTGCATTCTCTACTTGAGTACTGTTCTGTCTTCAACATAATAGAAAGGATATGAGAGTTGAATGACCTCTAGGTTTAGAGAGCCGTAACTTGTCTTTTTTTAAGACAAATTATTTAGTATGAGAATGAAATGGACATGAATACAGCAGAACGGTTATAGGGAATTCATAAAACTGCCTCCAACTAGTTAGGTGTTGAGACATAAGTGATTGATTTAATGTTTTAGAGAGGATAAAGTTTAAAAACATTCATTACTGCCAAAATTCAAGCAAGATGCAAGATAGTTTATGATATTGGATGTCCCTGCAGGGACATGATATCTGGATCTTGTAGCAAACTTGTTATTAGCTATAACTTGGGTAGCTGACAGACAAATGATTACGAACCTTGGTGAGTGGTAGAACTCAATAATGCTATCATCATAATTATGAGTGTATAGAATAGCCAAACGAGTTTACTGGAAAGAAGCTGCAGATCTTTCTGACTCTGCTGCTTCTGATAATCAAGTGAAGATGGTCCTTCATACAATTAATAACAAAGGAACCTCAAGCCTAGAGGGTTCTTGTTGAATACATAGTATAGAGAACTCTCCCTTTTTGTCATAAAGTTTTCTTGAAAAAAAAAATACACTTGGATCTAATCGTATTTATACCCCCCCCCTTTATCCCCCCCCCCCCCCAAATTTAGAACAACCCACACAGCTCTCACATGCTTATATGGGAATAAAAAGTCCAGACAATCTAAGGGCTTACACAGTCTTATTAATTATATCACATGATACTCACATATTCAGCTTCACCGTTACTATTAGCGACCTTGGCTTGTTTAATCCCTGAATCTACAACTGACAGCAGCTTTAGGTACGTACCATTATCAAACATTCCCTGCGCTTGAACATACAATTCACCTGCCAATAGAAAGGTTCTCACTGTAAACTACTGGACAGACTATAAAAAATGTCATTGTTTCGTCATATGGATTCTCTGTAGCTCCTTGATCAGACTGGTAACATTAAGCAACCATAAAGATTGCATTAATATAAATAAGTAATACATGTTTTAACCTCATGAACTCAACTAACACAGATTCTGGGATCTGCAGACACAGGCGGATTAAGGATTTTAAAAGGATGGCTTCACCACTACCTACAGTGGCGGAGCTACCTTTAATGACGGGGGGTCATTTGAATCCCCTTAGTTGGAAAGTCAGAATGTGCAAAACGGTAAATTCTAAAAATCTTGTATTTATGCAACTTGTTGGATCTTCTTGAAATAAGAGAATTTTCTAATGAGTAGTAAAAGTGGTTCAAAATTTGTTTAGGGTATCAAGTCCAGTGTGTGACATTCTTGCATTTTTTCTGAATGCCATTGTTAAAATTTCTGGTTTCGCCATTGAGTACCTAACATAAAATTATTGTGCCTGAGTATAAGCTGGGTATGAAATAGGGAGTAGGAAAAAAGAAAGACCTGAAAGAAAATTTATAAAAAAGAAGTTCCACAGAAGATCAATTCTTGTACCTGGATGCAAATATATTGCCAGCTTATAATGAGTGCATCACTAAGCCTTCTGCAGAATGGGTTCCCAAGTGCACTACTTTTCTGTTTACATAAATTATTTACAATGCTATATAGATATTTACATGAACCCAACCCTATAAAGTAGATTCGCTACTGCCTACAGAGATAGAGAACAAACTAATTACTGTACAAGTTACAAAAACAAGGAGATTATTGACATAGGACAAAAACAGTTGTCTGTCTATTTTGATCTCTTTAGCTTGGGGAAGAAAGGATGCACTATACTATTTACAGTATTTAGAGGGAAAAGACATTACTCTATGAGGGACTTGACATGGGATAAAAACAATTGTCTGCCTGTTTTAGTCCCTTCAGCTTGGGAACGAAAGGATGCATTATATCAATTACGGTATTCCTCTTATACAATTTTTCTAAGCGTCATAGACACTGATGTTCAACTGCCAACTTCATGTGATTTTAAAACTCATGGTATTCAAATCCATTGCAGCGACTGAGAATTTTCTTAATCTGGAATTAGTGTTATCTTATTCCTAAACCTAGCCTGACAAAAGATGAATTTGTAATTTGGATCAATCTTGACCCTAGAAAAGCGTTATCCAGATTGAGTTTGCTCCAAGTCAAACTTGAGTTGGTCACCGAAATTTTTTGATATTTTATTGATTTATTATACATATAACATAGATATCATTTACAAAATAAAATAGTACTATAGCTATTTATGACTATTGACACCCTAGTATTCAAAAATTAATCCAGAGTAATATATATGTCAAATGGAGATGATATAAAATCCTGATTAACATCAATTTGATCAGACCAACATTACATGCAAACTGGACGAACTAAATCTAGAAAAAATTCTTATTCAGATTTTATAAAAGGACCCGATCAAATCTAATCTGACCTTTAAGCTCCCAAACGGCCCTTATAGAGCAATGTCAATTATTACTCACAAAAACACTTACCAAGACCATATAAGATCTCCTGCTTCAACTTGTATGCCATATTCCCGTTGTAGTTTGGTGACTTGTGCATCACAAGCTCATAGACATCAAGCACCGAAGTAAGATAAGGCATAGGCAGATTTCCCTGCTTCATAGGATTTATTCATTGAGTAGAAGCTAAAACCTATAAGCATTCAGTAATATTCATAACAACTGATAACTTCCATAGACTTCTTCCTATTAGAGAAATGTCATTTGCACAAATACAATGAATCACATATTACCTTTGGGGAATGAGAAACTATGGTGGACTGTAAACAATTTACAGCTGCGAGAGCAACTTCTTTACTACCATTAAATATGCTGTTTCTTACAAAAAGAAGCAATGTCTGCCATCCTACATAAGCACAGAACTCTTCCGCGATCACTGAAAATGTTTTTTCCCAGGTAAAGACGACGATAAATCAACTGATTGTGAAAATTACCAGACTGGAAATTCTCTAAGCTTCTCAAGAAAGGAAAAAAAGAACGTAGAATTCGAGCTATGCCCCCAAGTACAAGCACAAGTGTCTCATCCCATTGTTTCTGAGCTGTGTTACGACTGCAGAACCAAACATTTCACTTAAGAGAGATTGAAACAAAAACAAATAGAAAATATAGACAGCGAGTTTCAAATTTGGCATACCTATGGTGTATGAGCATATGAATTGCTTTCCCTCCACGTGTTCCAAGTTCTTTTCCCTGCCATTCTGTCTTTGAAGATGTTGCAGCCTAAGAGCAAAATATATCTTATTGGTCAAGAAAAGCTACAGGATAGTCCCTAAAATAGATTGGAGCCATTTCAACTTACCATGTGAGAAGAGCGATCTAATGTAGGTAAAACATAATTCCATAGACAATCCTCCCACATGCTCTTTGAAAGCTTTTGTCCATGGCTGCCAAGAATTTGGAAAAGTGTCCGAACAGCAGAGTTCCTAACCTGAAAAATAGATTAGGTTTACGTCCGCTACTAACAAAAGCACCAACAAAGCACATAATTTTCAGCACGGTTAGTGTTAGAGAACTAATGTATGTAGGAGGCTTAGTCCCACATCGGAATAGTAGTAGTATGTAGTGTATAGAATTTAGATATAAATAGGGCTCCTAGTATTATAGTAAGAAAATGAATATCAATAATATATTTTTCCCGTGCTATTAGAGCTTTGGTGAAAAAAGATCATTGTGCATCATTCAAGCGACATCCAGGAAGAAAGAACTTAGTCGACCCGCAATTTTCCGGGGACTTGAGAGGCTGTCAGCGACTGTCACAAGTTTCCCCTATCACCAGCGACCAAACCCCAGTCAGTCTCTCCGGCAAAGTCACCTCCATGCACCTCCACATGCAGTCATAAGTTCTGTCCTCCCGCGTCATGCGCCGGCGCGTTTGGACTGTTCCGGAAACTGTCCTTGCAGAATTGGGTTGCCTCCCCATTCCGACATCACCCATCTAGCTTCCTCTGTTGTCTGATAACTTTCTCTCCAGGCAGTCCACTTTTCCGGCAAGTACTTCTCTTTTTTTGTCAGATGTGAAATTGTTTTGTGGAAAATCAGAACTTTTTCCGGCCAAGTCAGAATCTCCGACAAGTTCAGTCATTTTTCAGTCACCTTCTAGGCCATATATTGGTGAAGATGTGTGGGTATTCACTGGACAGCTACTTGACTCGACTATTTTCAGAGGTCCTTTGAACTTTGGTTGCAACAAAATGGGAACCAATACTTTGAATAGTTGGATGATTTCTCTATCGGAGCATATTGAGTTCCTTCCGTACAAAGCACGTAAACAAACATTTTCTGAGATAGTTTCTGTTGTTCAACCAGGTAATAGGGCGAGTCATGTCTCCCAATCTTCTTCTCCCGACTTTTTAATCATTGATTCGGGCGCATTTGATTATATTTCTAGTAACAAATATCTTTTCACTACAACTTCTTACTCTCAATCACTTCCAACAATCTCAATAGCCCATGGATCTCAAATCATGGCAATAGGAATAGGTCAAGCTAGTCCACTTCCTTATCTTTGAATTCAGTTCTTTATGTTCTTGGTAGTCCTTTTCATCTCATATCCACTAGTCACTTAGCCAAATCACTTAAGTGCTCTGTTTTATTTCTTGATGACTTTGTTATTATACAGGAACTCAGTACGAGACGGATCATTGGTATCGGGCGTGAATCAAATAGACTTTATTACCTTATCCTTGCTAAATCATATGGACTCACATTTTGTCATGCTTCAACAGCTTGTCTTGTAAGTGATTCATCTGATTTATTACATAAATGGTGGAGACATCCCAGTTTATCAAAACTTCAGAAAGTGGTAACGGGTTTGTCTGACTTGTCCACTCTAGCGTGTGAGTCCAACCCGGGCATACTCGCTCCCATTTCCCTCGGTGTCCTGATAATCGGGCAAGCCAACTTTCACTTTAGTCCATTCAAATGTTTGGAGTCCTAGTTGGATCAGTTCTACCTTGGGATTCCGCTACTTTGTCAGTTTCATAGGTGATTATTTCAGGTATACTTGGATATTCTTGATGAAAAATTGATTTGAGCTATTTCCTATTTTCCAAACCTTTCACACTGAAATCTAAAATCAACTTGGGGTTCTATGAGCACATTACATAGCGGCAATGCCTCAGAGTATTTCTCTTATCCATTTCAGCAGTTTATGAACTCTCATGGGATCATTCATCAAACATATTGTCCATACACATCTCAACAAAACGGGTTAGTTGAAAGAAAGAATAGACATCTCATTGAGACTGCTCGTACCCTACTTGTTTGGGGGATGCGTTACTCACATCTTGTTATCTTATTAATCGTATATCATCATCAGCTATCCATAATCAAGTTCCATTCTTTATCTTGTTCTATTCTCTTTGGGAGCACGTGCTTTGTTCATAACTTTATTCCAGGAAAAAAAATAAGTTAGTTCCCCGTACTCTTAAGCTAAGTTGCTCGGACACGGGTGCGGGTGTCCGACACGGGTGCGGATCTAGAGGTCGAATCCTTCTAGTCCTATTCTACTTTTGGTGTAAAAAGTTAGCATAGAAGAAGCAGACTCTATTTTTTATGGCCTAGATTTTTTGTAAGATGATACAGATCTAGGATTTTATTTTTTCTCTTTTTTGTAACTCTGGAGACTTCACAACGTATAGTTCTCCCTTTATACATAAAAAAAAAATTGTTACCATTATAAAAAAAAGTGTGTAAAGTCAAATGATCAACTTGTAGATATTTTCACTTAGTCTCTTACTAGTCCTCGTATTAGTTACAACTGTAGCAAGCTCGGTACATATGACTAATATGCACTGGCTTGAGAGGGAGTATTGATAGTTAGTACTAACATATTATGTATAGTATCCCACTCATCGGGGAAAATATGTCTAGTGCTGTATAAACATTGTATGAAAATAGGCTATTGTAAGACACTTTAGATAACGAATATATCAATAATGTATTTTCTCCGGTGCCTTTATTTCTCACAGTCACCCGTGACAAAAGTAACTAAAACTGCAATTCTTTTAGCTGTGAGATCAGAGGTCGATACTTTTGATTACGACAGAATAAGTTTCTGACAGTAGAAACTAGTGTTGTTGACAGGACAAGCAGAAATATATCAGTTTTCAAGTCTGGACCATCAGTTGTTACATAGAATATATCAAATATATTAAATTTTTGTTTTCAATCTTTAAAGTTCAAAGAAGAAATAGGACAGCAGATGTTTATCAAGCAGTATAGATCACTTTGAGGAAACAAGACAATCCACAGTAGAAAATTATAGAGTAGAGAAGCATTAGCATCCTGATAGGAAGGTTTGTCTTGTTTCTAGCAAATTACTTCATAATAACAACAAAAAACATTTCCTCAGAAGGAATAGAGCTATCAATGTAAGACAATATTATCCATGTAAAGAAGGTAAAGGAAAAAAAAACATTTATATTGCTTTCCCAAGATTTATACCATATTACATATCTTCAATAATTTGAATAGGTTCTCTAGTTTCTAGCAAATTACTTTCCCCAATCAGATATTCTAGATAGGTTTGTTTTGCTACAACAAGCCTCTCGGGATTAAAGTAGCAAATGCCTGAATTTGAACTTGTCATAAATGGACTAAAGAGAAAAGGGCTTGAAAGCCTAAAAATTAGTTGCCTATCAGCTATATGCTCAAAAAATGTAACTAGGAAAAAGTTTAATTGCACAGAAAATACAAATACCTCTGGTCTTTCATCAGCACCAAGATTTTGTAATAAAGAAAAAATTGAAA